ATACTGTTCGTTATCTCCATATATTTCATTAATAGAATCTCTTCTTTGAAAAGAGGACATTAGCTATAAGTAAATAAATCGAGTCTGGAATCCCTAAACTATAAAAAAAAGTGACATTATAAAATGCTAGATGGTGTACAACAAGAAAATAACTTGTTGTAATAAGGTCTCCAGATTCCTCATACATAAAAAATACTTCTACTCTCCATATTTTTTTTATAATTTCGCGGCGACCTAAAATCGTTTAGTTTTATTTTGCACTTAATACGGTACATATGGCATTTCCTGGTGTGTATATTTGTAAAAGAAAAAGTATAAACAAAATAAAAACTAATTTATCTTACGACTGGAAGAATATTTCTTTTGGTCTTTTAGACAATAAAATCTAGATAAATGTAAGCCCTGTTCACAGACAGTTTATTGTTTCTAATATGTGTTTTTACTTAATACGAAGTAAAAGAAAAAAAACATTGAATAATCAGTTAATTAATTTTATTACTTTCAATGTTTACATTTAACATCTTGTATACTTAATGAACCATTAATACTAAGAATAATTATGATATAATTAAAATAACGCTATAAAAATCTGGTTGATTTTCAAATTGCAATTAGATTGTATTCTTATTTATACAATTGTCGTGTTTCAGCGATGAAGCAATCGTTGATTTTTTTTTATTTTCCTTAAAATATTTTGAATTTATAACTATTATTATTTGAACTTTGGTACCGATTTTGTCTTCTTATCGATCTTCAAAAGTCCTTTTTTTTTAATTCTTATCAGTAATAAAAATTTCAAGCAGAAAAAAAACTTAACATCTGAACATTTTCAGCTTCTTCTCTGATACCACTGAACCAATGTCAACCAATTTTCGTATATAACTTCTTTGAGTGAAGAGAAACAGAAAATATGAATTTCGTGGTCCCTGACCACCTCACCAAAGGATGTGAGGAGTAGGCTAAAACTATCAAAATAAATGCAATTTTCAAAAATCTTCTTTTCTTTACTCCTGGATATCAAGCAGATTGTAATAAGCATTGAATCCTCTACAACAGTCGTGAAATTCATGGTCCCAGGGTCAGGAGTTCTAGTGTTTGGGTAGGGCTTTATTACTCATTTAGTTAAAATGCATAAAATCTTCATCTCTCCCCCGTGTATATTTAAGAAACAATCTAAGTGCATAAATAAGACATAAATAAGATGAACAAGAGTGTCTCTTCCAAAATTGTGAAATATATGGCCCCTGGATCAGGGGTTTTGGTGTTAGGGCGGGGCTGTATTGGTCATACAGTGAATATGCGTTATTTCTTTGAACATCTTCTCTGCTCCCGGATGTTAAGAATATAAACTAAGTGCATGGTTCCAATGAACAAAAGTGATTCGTCTAAAACTGTGAAATTCATGGCCTCTTTGTCAGAGACTCTGGATTTAGGGCAGGGCTCTGTTGATCAGATAGTGTGAATGCCTTTACGCTTTGAAATTTTTTTCTCTCTACTCCTGTGTACTTAGCAGAAAAACTAATTAAACACATGGTTATAATGAGCACGATTACCAAATTGTGACATTTATGGCCCCTACGTGAAGGGCTCTGGTATTGGGGGTGGGGGTGGGGGTATGTGGGTTATAGAAGTGAAAATGCATTTATTCTTTGACAATCTTCTTTTCTATTCCTGGGTATTTAAAATACAAATTAAATGCATGATTATGATGAGCAAGAGTTATTCTTCAAAAATATTTAAATTCATGGTCCCTGGATCAGGGGTTCTGGAGTTGGAGCAGGCCTCCATTGATCATATATGAAAATGCATTAATTCTTTGAAAATCTTTTTTTCTTCTCCTGGGTATTTAGGCAGACAAACTAAGTGCATAAATTTGATGAGCAAGGGTGCTTCTTTTATAATTGTGAATTTCATGGTCCCTGGGTGACGAGTTCTGGAGTCAGGACAGGACTTTTTTGATTATATAGTGAAGATGTATTTAATTCTTTGAAAAATCTTTTTCTCTGCCTTCGACTATTCAGCAGAGAAATTAAGTGCATGGTTATGATAAGAAATACATATGTAATGTGGTTGTTTTTTTCAATTTAGGCATCTTACAGAGGCCAATATATGACACAGGTTGTGCTGGATGTAGTCTGGTGACATTGTGTTTTATGCTTAAGCACTATTGTAATGTTTAGTGATAGTAATGGGTGTAGTAAGCACTGACATATACAGGCAAACTTCGGAGTTGTTGTTGAATACCAGACTAACAACTGCGTTGAACCCTGATCGTCCCTTTTCTTTTAGTTTATTTTGTATTAGTGTATAAATATTTATCATTCCGTGGATTCTATACAGGGTTGTATTATGCTCAGGTGGCCGTTAAGGCTCATACGCCTCTTGTTTACAATAGAATGCATTTCACTTCAAAACAAAATTTACTTTTCATTTCAAGAGCAAGTTATTTCGCAAGAATTCGACTACCAACTGCTGATTAACAAAACATTCACAGAAAATCACAAATGTCAAATCAGAATAGCTTCAGGTATCATTAATTAAACAAACATCAAAATACGAAAAAGGAGAAAGAGACATCATTTTCAGACACTTCAGCTAAAGAAAACAATCCTACTCTGTTTAAAATTCGACCTCCTTTCAGTCGAATGTCATTCAAAAATATTTCACATCAAAGTTCAGGTATGATTGATTCTTTTTCATCGTCTTTTTATATCATGATGCCACCGACCTTCTCATAAATTTTCTTTAAAAATGTTTGTTCAGAATTGTCAGATTGATATTATCTGGAATATACAATGTTTTCGCAGTTGCAAAGAAAAAAAGTCCATGTACGACAGTTTTTTTAAACACTGTCAATCATTTTTTTCTGTGCTGCAGATATAAAGCTAATTATAACTTGTTTTGGAAAACTTTACAATTTTGCAACGTTTAAATCACTAAATTTTCTAATAAACTTTCCAAAGTTTCGCATGACAAGATAATTGTTTTCTTTCTTTTTTCCTCTTAACATTGAATAAAAAAAAGAATAATGTAATACTCGGGAGACTAAACTCATGCTTTAAAATATTCCGTGCATCTATTTGTAAGCAATTTCCATTTGTATATTTAATAAATCTAGTAACGAAATATTTTTGAATTCAATTCATATGCAGTTTTTTTTTATTGATAAACAAATCATTCTTTTTATATGACATTTGTCATTCAATTTTATAAATTTGTTTCATCGACTCTATCTTACACAGCATTACCTTGCTGAACATGACAATGGCGTTATTGTGGTTTGGTAAAGATTATTTGCTTTTACATAAATCATCACCCCACGCAACCAGTTCCAGCACGAATTCTAGAAATGATGTTCCGGAATAACTGTATATCCTCGATTAAGAGCAGTCGATATATTTTTTTTAAATGTGAGAAATACCTATTTGAGTGATTAAATAAGAAGTTGAGGAATGTGTTAGTTCTCATAAACTACTCCAACTATAAGTGAAAAAATGATTGACTTTTAAGATTCTAGCTTTTTTTAAGGAGGGGGGGGGGGGTAAGTATTCCCTCGAATAAATCGTTTCTTCTCGGGGTTCATTCTTTGTTGAATCCTTTTTAAAAATTATTTATTCATTTATTTTGAATACGGAGAGTCAATTTATGTTTAGTGCAATCTAGCTTCAGCATCTGAGGCTTTTAAAGCAAAAAATATATAATATTAAAACATTCAAAACCTCACATCTTACTTGTGTTACTTGCAACTTTATGAAGAGGGAAATAATATAACGTCATATGACAAGTTAGTTGTGTTTTCTTCGATACATATGCACCAAATAAAAATTACTTTACCTTATTCAAATGTATGTAATTATGTTCCATTTTCACATATTTGATTAATTAAGGTTGCAAAAGAAATTATCCGTTAATCCGTAAACAGAATGTAAGAAAATTATTATGATATTTTTTTAAAACTTAAACCTGTTTTGTTTTGTAAAAGAACTTACGTGAAATTCACTATAGGCAATTGCTTTGATTAATTTATTCATTTATCCATGCATATACAATTGCTTGATTTGCTATCATTCATCATTACCTGACTTTAATAAAATATTTTCTTTTTCCAAGTATAAGTGAACTCATCTGCAACTAAAACCTATTAACGGATCATATGTTTCAACATACAGATCAAACGAAATATTTTGATTACTAATTCTTGTTTAATAAAACTTAGTCTTCTAAATTCGTGCAATCGTCTTACCTGATGTTTACTCTAGATCTTTTCAAATGCCTTTATTATCCATCATACTCTGCATCTCTGATATTTTTGCTAAATAAATCTTTTTTTTTTAATTTATGAATTTAAAAAAAAGGTGAAAGAGAAAGTATTTGTACAATGCAACTGACATATGTTTTCTTCAGTTAAATGAAACTATATATCCTTTTGAGCTAAAAGAATATTTGTTTGTTTTTTTTGTTTGTTTTTTTTTTTCATACAATCCATATATGTAAATATTTTATTTGGGAATCATTTTACTTGTGAAAAAAAAATTATTTTTACGCCAACCAAACTGAGATGTTACGTTGCTAAATTAATACTATCTTTCAGGATGTTAATCGTACCTAATTGTTGCGATTACTAAATACAATCGATCATTCATAAAACTGACGCCATGCTTAAGCTAAATATTGTTGGCATAGCAAAGGTTATGACCCCTAGAGTGTAAGTATAATCCACAAAGCCATTAATTATTCAACGTGTTATCAATTTCGGTCTATAAATTGTGGTTACCAGTGTGAAAATCATTGTCAGCTCAAAAGTAAGACTATTCAGTCATTATACGCAATAATTACTGGGATAATTAAGAAAACCTTCAACATCTTCATCTAAGAAGAGTTTTGTGTTATATTATATGAAGTATCCTAGGCAAGGCTATGAGGAATTTTAATTTCGTCAACATCGCTGTTTTTATATACTTCTCTGTTAGTATTACAAAGTGTAGTGGAAGAAATGTACCTTTAAACGTTGATCCCACAATGAACAGAAAAAATACCCAAGACCATATTGAAACTGGTAAGTAACTTTATATTTTGAAACTCAACAGCATTTTGAATATGCATTCATGAAAAATAATTTGCAAAGAATTCTCAACGATCAAGTCGTGAAAAAGTTTTGTGAAACTTCGACATGTACGTTTGACAGACATGAAACAAAATTAATAAGTTAACCTAAAACACCTGTTATGTTGTACTAAGAAAACAATCTACATTCATTATTTTATCAGTTTTTACTTTAGCATGCAAAAATGCTTATTCATAAGCATTATTATTAAAATGTGGGGGAAAATCATCAATCGATTTATTTGCTTTTATGTCGGTGAATGAATTTACCTTCAAGTTAAAGAACATTTGTGCTGCATTTATAAATACACATGCTTAAGGCATTGGTTTCTTTAAAGTATCAAGTCCATAATTAGTTTCGCTATACAGAGATGAAACTGCAAACATCATAGTTATTAATCAACTCTTCTCTGGTCATTTATCAAATGTTCCTATTCTTAAGAATTACATTGCGTAAAAAACAATGAATTAATGGAATTGAGTCAAAAAATTTTAAGTGAAACTTGTCATTAATAAATAATGATAAAAAATTTTCTTCATTTTCAGAACTAACATTAAAAAGTCTGAAGAGATTGAAGAGAAACCATTCAACTATACCATTTTCTAAACGAATCAGTCCTCCATTCCTTTTAAGTCGGCAAAATCGCCCATTCTGGTCCAGTCAGCAAAGTGGCAAAGTCCGACATTTACTGCAGTTTCTTCAAGGCAACTTTCCAAGAAATTTGCATATTGTCAGAAATCAAGAATTCACCGTGCAAAGAAAGCTATCTCCAGATCACTCTAATGGCATTCAAAGCACAACAACTCCCACAGTTTCAGCCACTGCCAAAGCTCCATTCATAAAATTACCTACAACATTAATTCCTCTCTTCGCGCTAACAGCTACTGCTCCTACAAGAAAGGCATTCCAAACAGAAAAAGGATTATTACAGACAATTCAAACCAAGACGAATATATTATCAACAAAGCGTCCATCAATGTCTGGTGGTGTCAATAATAAAGTTCAAAGCAATAATAACAGAATAAGAAATATGGACATACATTCACAACACGTGGATACATCTTTAGTGTCCCCCAGCGGAAGTCTTATACTGAGAGTTTTGAATAATTTTCTAGTGCTTCAAAAAAATATTTTACCAGCCGATGAAATAGCAACAATAGTACCCCCATCAACTTCCACAGTAGAAAATATAACATTTACAAGTGCAGTAACTACTTCTTCAGAAAAATTATCTATAATTGCAAATAAATTTACAACATCTACAATGAACCCGACAACTGTGAAACCAAAGACATTGGTTACAAATGATAAAATACACAAACCTCAACATTATGTGAACGTTGTACGCAGTGTTGGAGAGGCATTTTGCAAAATATGTGAAAAAATTGGACATCAGTTTACAAATTTATGTCGGAAACAGAATTGTCTTCTTCCATCAAGCTCATCGTCTTCATAGCAAGACACTCAAATCTAGACTTTATCAGTATTTTGTGATTAATAACGAGAGTTTGAATTTTACTTCTAGTATTTTGTGAAGTCTTAAGCCTTTGCAACCTCTTGGAGCTACAATGTTAATGTTGCTTCAGCTTCATGTATTATCCAAACTGAAATCCAGGTGTTGCTTTGTTGTTTTCCCCAGGTATTGTTGTATTATTAATATTGTTAAAAAATAGAATTGAACATCAAAAAATGAACATAATTATTGTCTTTTTGATTTATGAGTGTAATCTCATTAGCTACTGACGATAAAGAATTTCTAAGTATTTAAACATGTGGTTATTTTTTATCATTAACCAAGCAATCATCTGTGGTTTGACTAAATGACGGCTAACCATAGAGTAGCATCTTTAAACACTAAGTTTTTGCACTCTAATCATAACAATATATGTGGTCCTGGATTTAAAATCCAGGATAAAAGAATTCATATAAAACATTGTACATCAATCACTGCTCCAATTTCTTTTTACAGCAAACTTTGATAAAAATAATTATAAACTACTAGAAATTTTGTTTATATTCCTAGATGTTTTCCTTCATAGTTGGTATACAATTTCTGAGTACAATTTTTATCTTTATTTAATGATTGTTACATTGTATACAATAAATCCCAGTAGGCATTTATTCATAAAACTGATTAGTTCATAGAAGTCTTAATATGCTGCAGCAGAACATTGCCTTTTAAAGTAAACGAAAATTTGTTTGGCATTAGTAGAGGCGAGAAATGTCATGATTATGAAAATTAACTTCAAAAACTACTGTTTATTGTATGCCTTAATGAGAGAAAGAAAATAAATGTACATAAATACTTACGCCTGTTTTTCTTAAAATAAGTCAAAAATATTGGTTTCATTTAAGTGAAAATTAATGTACTTGTATTTTGTTTCAGATAAACAGAATAATTAATATTTGCTTTCATATATCTTTCCTTTCACAATGCATTTTCTTTCTTTTGAAATAGTTTTACGGAGAATTTACAATGATTTTTTTTCCACATTTATTTCCCAGACCTGTAACATTAAAGATGATATATAGGGCAGCTACCAGGGATGGGGCCCTGACTAAGCTCCCTCTATAACAATATATAATAATAATCCCTACAGCACCACGCAGGGTGCTAAATATCTAAATATCTATATCTAAATACAATGTCTCACATAATTTATTCATATCATACATTCAGTATGTATATTAATTAAATTGTATAATATATAATAATAAAGAATATTTATCCGGATTCAATTTTGGTTCTAAATTTCTTGTTCGTATTTGCAATCCGATGCGATTCATGAATGTGTTGCAATATAATGAATAAATGGGAAAAAATACATTGAACTTAATTTAAATCTGGACTGTGGAAAACAGGTAACAGTTCCTCGAATTCTGTTAATACAGTTAACTTTAAATTCATATAATGATTTTTATTATTCTACAGTAATATGTGACAGTCCTAGCATAAATTCATTAAATGTGGAATGCAAACACAGTATCCAGTTTTGTTTCGCTCGCTTTTTTCACATTGAGAACCATTAGCTAGAATTGTTAAGTTATCAGATCTGAGAAGATCAGATTCTAATTTATTTAATCATTGATGTCAAGAGTGTGATATTATTAATAAGCATATCTCTAAAATTAAAAAAAATCAGTATCATTTTAAAAATTTCTCAATGTTTAAATATAATTATATATATACAATTAGTAATAATTCCATTCTTTGAAAATTGCATGACACATTTGTATAAGATGCACATAAATATTTTTTAGATACGTCAAAATTCATTGGAGTTTCGTTCAGATGAAACTAAGATGTTTTGCCTTAGATAAACAGAATACTACCTAAACAATACATAGGGCTCAGGGCGACGTACTGGTGACGTAAATATACAAAATGTAGTTAATAATGAGAACCTAAATCACTTACTTTAAAAGGGCCAAAATGTGCAACAATATATTCGAGAAGTGGTGTTACATGTAATCAGATGAGGATATTCAAAAATTCCAAGGAACTTATGAAAAATTTGAAATTACAGAATTTAACGAAAATCAATAACATCAAATTTTACGACTATTCAACTCTATATACAACCATTCCCCAGAATAAATTAAAGTCCAGGCTTTTTGACATCATTGTGAGCTGCTTTTTCAATAAAAATGGAACTCGTAAATTTACTTACCTTGTCATTGGTCATTTGCAAAATCATTTTTAAAAAAAACATTCTGAGTGTACGCACAAATACTCCAAAGTTGATATTAAAAAGATGCTTGAGTTTCTGAAGGACAATATCTATATGGTTTTTGGAGACCAGGTTGCGCTCCGTTATTAGCAGACCTATTTTTGTATTCATAGAAAGCCGAATTTATTTAAAATATTATACATGAGAAGAAGAAAACACTTGTTGTGGCATTCAACATATCAACGACGTATTATCAATAGATATTTCCATTCATATGTCGACACGATATATCCCAGTGAGCTTGAAATAAAAGATACCACAGTGTCTGACATATCTTTTTCATATTTGGATATTTTACTAGAAAAAGACGTGAATGGTATCCTATAACTACAAAGCTTTATGATATTAAACGTGATGACTAACTTTTCAATAGTCAACTTCCCTTACTTAGGCAGCACCTGCATATCACCTGCATACCAGGTATATATCTCTCAGTTTAATCGATACGCAAAAGCATGCCCTACGTATGAACGATTTCTAAAACGAGGTAAGTTACTGACAAACTGGTTGATGAAACAAGAATAACAACAGTCTCGTTTAAAGTCATCATTTCGTAAGTTCTATGGTCGATACAATGACTTTGTTATAACGAACTGAATCTGTTATAACAGATTTATTGAATTCGTTATAACGATTTTAAAAAAATTGTTATAACGAATTAAAATCGTTTAAAACGAATTCTGAATTTTTCTGTATAACGAATTAAATTCATTTAAACGAATTCGCCATTCGTTATATCAAATTAAATTCGTTTAAAAAAATTCTATAATTCAATATATATCGAATTATAAATATTTTTCTATAGACTTTATATATCTAAATCGATTTAACGAATTTAATTCGTTATAACAAATTTAAGAATTTGTTTTAAACGAATTTAATTCAATACAAAAAAAAATGGAATTCGTTGCAACGAATTCAAATATTTGCTTAAACAGATTAAATTCGTTATTACAAATTCAAAAAATTGCTATAACAGATAAAATTTGTTTAAATGAACTCCAACATTTGTTATAACGAATTCAAAAAAATTTTTGATAGGTCCCAAATGGGTTCCCTAATTTTCCAAAAAATATTTCACTATCAGAATTTAACGTACAAAAGGTTAGACGTAAATGACAAATACTATCATCTTTTTAATTAACGTTAGGACATGGTTTTAGATACGGAAGCCCATTTAGGACCTATCAAAAATTGTTTTGAATTCGATATAACGAATCGTCAAAATTGTTATAACAAATTAAATTCGTTTAAACAAATTCTAAAATTTGTAATAACGAATTAAATTCACTTAATAAAATTCAACAGTTAGGGCCTATAGTAATATATATATATATATATATATATATATATATATATATATATATATATATATATATATATATATATATATATATATATATATATATGTATGTATGTATGTATGTATGTATGTATAAAAGAATTAGTTTCAACGAATTTAATTCGTTAAAACAAATTTTTGAATTCGTTAAAACAAGTTCAAGAAATTTGTTATAACAATTTAATTCGTTATAACGATTCAAAGACATTAATATAACGAATTTAATTCGTTATATCAATTTCAACAATTCGTTACATCGAATTTAAAGAATGTTTTTGATAGGTCCTAAATGGGCTTCCGTATTTAGTTGCTTATGAAACTGCCAAACTATTACGCAAAATATAAAGCGTAGAAAACTGAATACATTTATATTAATTTTACTAATATATATTGCTTCTTTTTTCAAATATCTATATGTTCTTATGTCATATATCAGTGTACAATCATTAATATTGTAGGAAAATATTCTCTTTCAGGCGTCCAAAGATCTGCATTTCTTACAAAGACGGAAATTTTAGCCATTTTTATTTGAAATCCTTTCCCGTCAGGTATTAATAATCGCTATAATAGCTAAAAAATCAAAATAAAAATCACGACTATGGTAAAACAAAAATGTGCGATTTATGATAATTCTTAATTATCAATTTTCCTTAAAATTTTAAGAAAGGTTATGAAACTTTTTTCTTTGTATTTCAAAACAGGATTTAGAAAACGAAATTCTAAAATATCATTCGCTGTTTTAATTATTCACTTTTCCGTCCCAATAGTTCATGCAATATTGACATTGTCAAACATGACATTTTCAAATAAATAAACAAGTAAATTACCATATAATTTACTTGCTTTTGATTTTCTTCTTAATAATGTACGTAAATGAAACTTTAATTAGCATGCAAAAGTGCTTATGGAAACCAGACACTTAGATAATGACGGAGCCGATAGTAGACATTTATTGTTACGCGGGAAGTTACTCATTGTCTTCAAATATAAATTTGTTATAGGTCAAAACTTCTTTTCATTTGACCTTTATCTTCAAGTTAGAAGTCAAAGATAACTTCGCAATACATTTCCGTGGTTTGTCTGGTTAAATGAAAATATTTCATTGATTTGGTATAATATCCTGAACTTGTCAACGTGTCCATTACAAACGTGTTCAGTTCGTTCCTTGTGAAAAAGATAATATCTCAAAATTAAGACAAACTTTAAGATCACTAAATTATTTCTCAAGTCAAATGTTGGCTAAATTATGTGCTGTAATAATTGAAAAAACTGATTCTTTTTTCCTATAAGTTTGATCGACAATTAAAACATCCACCGATTTCTGTGTCTGTCTCCACATACCATAGAAATTAGTGGATCAAGTTCACATTTCTCAGATTATCTTCAACAATTGCT